AGAACCATCAACAACAATAGTTGTTCCAGCCATTATACTTCTCAGAAGATTGTAAATATTGTGATGGTGAACTCCCTTCATAAAAACCACAGCTTCACGCCATATCATAAGAACTCTTTTCTCAATAACTATCATATAAACCTTGGACTCTAAGACCCCAAGTAACAGTAGGTTCCTTCTAAGTTGTAGAACATGTTTAACATCAGTTAGCTCCCTCATAGTACTATCATGCATCTTTGTAATGATCCATACACTAATAGTATGGCGAGCTTGATTGTTTCCCATAGTCATTACACTACTATCCAACTCTTTGTATGTATAGAACTAACCTCGATGAGAATAAATATGATAGGTAACACCTGTATCCAGAATCCATCACAAATCATCTTTAAATAAATTGTGAGAAACTACAATTAATAATACATCTCAATCTACCTTTTCACATTTTTCCACAATAATATTGGATTTTGCCTTAGATGCAACTTCATTTTCCTTCTTCTTCAGCTTCAAAAAATCATTCTTCCAATGACTAGTCTCGAAACATAAAACACACTGATTTTTTTTACAAAATTGTGCCTACAATACTTACCCCGCTTTTGAGGAGTGTCACCACTACCACCTTTATTTGTTGAATTCTTCTTCGTCTTCTCAGATCTACCATTTTAGAGTGTAAATGCCTAAGTTAAGTCCATCTTTGTGAACTCCCTATCCCTTCGATGGAACTCGTGATTCAACAATGTCGTTGTCACTTTGTCATTATTCAATACCTCGTTCACATGAATAACATTTATAATAAATTTTTAGTACTCATTTTGGAGCAAATTCAATAGATGGAGTGCCTTGTCTTGACGCTCAATATCCTCATCTAAATTTAATAGATCTATTTAACAGTTTTGTGAAGTCATTGAAGTGCTCATTAATAGTAACCCCCATCTCATTTAAAATTTGTAGAAGCGATGCTTTATACAGAGACGATTCTGAAAACTATTTGTGAGATATTTGTTCTCCAACACCCTCCTTAATTTTTTTGTAGAAGTCCCTATCATCACCCCATATTTGATCTCTTTAGTCAAGCAATTTTGGATCAAGCCACAAGCACTCCAGTTCATCTTCAAATAATCTCTCTCTACATCTTTTTATATCATTCCTCACTATCCAGAACTTTTTTCAGATTCAAACAACTATGCATCAATCACCTCACATCGACACATGTTAAAGTTACCTTTGCCGTAAAATTTCATCACATTGATTTTGATTAAAGAACTTGACATTGTGCTATTATTCATTGCTCCATCTGTCTAAAAAAATATTCCTATAGCGAAATAAAATATTTTTGTGGAAAGTTTCTTTCTTTTTTGTAGAGTAAGTTCGAGAAAGCTTCTAGGATACTCACGCTTATAAAGATTAAAGCAAATCTGAAAAAGGTTGAAGCTATTTCTCAGAGATGCCAACTTGTTGGAATCTAAAGGAGTTGCAAACACTGACCAGTTGCATTGCGAGCTTGAGTATATTCCTTTCAAAATTGGGTTATTGTTGCTCATCTTTCTTTAGAATCATGAAGAAGTCTATCTAATTTACCTGTACGAAAGAATGCAACTTAGCACTTAAACAACAGAAGGAGCTATTGACTTCACCTCCTCTATTGCAAAGTCTAAAATCAAGGGAAGAATTGTTCATTTATCTCTGAGTAGGGAAAAAAGCAGTCAACTCCATTTTAGTTCTTGAGGAGAGCAAAACACAATTTTCAATCTATCATGTTAGTAAAGTCTTACAGGCAATCAAATCGAGATATGCAATTTGTAATAGCTCTTATATTATTAGTAAGAAAACTATGTGCTTAATTTCAAGCACACACAATGAATGTGATCACAGACCATCCACTCAAATCGATGTTGTCACGACTCGACCATTCTGGAAGATTACTAAAATGGTTAGTTGAACTGAATGATTTTGAGTTTATTAAGGAGATGCAACATCTCATATCTACTTCTTCCCATGAGAGGTCATATGTGACCACTACCAAAGACATGGAGCCAACATCCACCTCTTACACTACTTTCCTTTTTTTGGGACATGCTACGACAAGTAACTACTCTCCATTACAACTTTCTTTCTTCTTGAGACATCGATTTGGAAACTTGAGGAAAGAAGATTAGATCTCAAAACACTATCCATATTTCCTTCTTAAGACCTCCTTGTCTCTTTGGGAGTTTTGTGAGAGGATTCTTATCCTACTCGTCTCCATCCACATCATTGATTAAGGGGTAAATGATAGGTAAGTCGGTAATTTGCTCTTCATCTTCTCTAGTAGTTTTTATGGCCAAGAAAGTTGAAGCCTTAACACCTCCTTCAAAAATGCTTGCTTCAAAGAGTTCTCGGCCTCTTAATTCGTCTTCAAAAGATTGAGCCGCCCTCCCTGAAGTGAAGAAGCACGGTGTTCAAAAAAATGAGTGAAGAATTATTCAAAAATTATCCTCATGCAAGTTGGATTAACATGAACCTGACAAAGCCGCCTTAACATATTTTGTTGTTGCAAATTACGCCCCAAAAAAAGCTGAATAGGGGAGTGATTAGAGGAAAAGGATCATAAACCTTTATAATATGAAGTGGGATGATGAGTCATCCAATAAGAATTGCAAATAAATTTATCTAAATGGCATCATATAGGATTTTTATTTTACTAGTTGAACCAATTGTATGAAACAATAATATGTTGAAGAGCATTGAGATCCACTTGATAGATACATTCATTGAAGTAATAAAGCTTGTTAGTAATTGGGAGAAACCCACCAATCTTTTCCTTAGAAGATCAAATGCAATTAAAATTACCTAAAATGATTCATGGGTCTTTGATAGTAGTAACAATGGCTATAATGAAAGACCACACAACCTTCCATTTTATAAAACAATTATCAACATATATAAAAGTAACATAAAATATAATTAGTATAAAACATTTCTCCATGAATGAATTGAGCACTAATTTGCAAAGCATTAAAAGCGACAGTACCATGATTCCATTTAACAAAATGTCTGCCATTAGAAGAGCAATTAAAGTTGGGAACAACAACTTCATTAGAAAATAACATGAGACACCTCATAAAGAGTCGAGGCCAAGTTATTATTGTGAAACCCCAAGTAGATTGAAGCCATACTCTTAATCATTGAGGCATCTTTTGGTGTAATGATGAAATTTTGATTGAAACTCCAAAGTTAAGCATGCTCATCATGGAGGACTCCTGAGATGGGTGACATCTTGGGAAGTTACTCTAACAAAACAAACTTGTGAGGCCATTAGGCCAAAGTGAACAATAAATTGATGGGTGAGAGTTTGGTTTGTCACAAATGGTATATCATTAGACTAGCTAAAAGATGGGAACAAAGTACAATACATAACAGTGCTACATCATGGGTGCCATTATTTAACCAAAGATAGATCAAGTGCTGCATAGTGAGAGCCACCTCTAGTCATATATGTCTGGTGGAAGATTTTGGGTATAGAGCATTGAATAGGATGTTAAGTACTTATGTGTATGAGATTGTGAAACCCTTTAAGTAGCTTGAAGCCGAAATCTTAAACATCAAGGTGTCTTTTGGTGTAATAGTGGAATTTAATTAGAAACTCCAAAGTTAACCGTGCTCGTCCCGAAGCACTCATGGGATGGGTGACCTCCTCGGAAGTTACCCCAATTGGGTAAAATCGTGAGGACACTAAGCTAAATCAGACAATACCTTGATGGGTGAGAGTTTGAGTTGTCACAATTATGAAGCCTAGTTTCAAGAAGACACATAATATCAAACTTAAGAGATCTAATAAGATTCCTACATTCTGAAACATGCAAATCACTATTAAGGCTCTTAACATTCCAGTAGATAATGTTGGGGAATGAGTGCATTATTAGTGAGAATTGGAGTGGAAGGACCCTCCCTTAGGTCTGTTTTTTTTTTGTTCTAGGTAGTGGAGAGAGGAACAATAAGAGGAATGGGGGATGTACGCAAGAAGATTATTCAACATGTTGAGCATAATATATATGTGTAGGGGGCTATTTGGAGAGACAAAAGTATCAACAACAATCTTTAAAGGAGAATTGCTTATTTGGTCTTTATCGTGCGCAAGCGATGAAACAATAATATTAAGACCCAGTGCAGGCAAAGAGGAAACAAAAGGTGAAGTGATTGAGGTGTTAAAGGGTATAATAGGTTGTAAATGCTTACTACTACTCTTAAGGGGCAATGGTTGTGCAGGAAGACAAGAGCAGCTTCGACAATTGTTAATAGGTAAAGAAAGAGGTTTGAAGTTAGGAGACTTAGGATAACAAGACAAATCATGAGCAAAAATATCACAAAACTTATAAGGTGTAGCTTTCTATTTTTATCACTTATTATTTAACATCTTTGCTCCTCACATAAATGATGATAAATTTAGATTGAATAAATTTGGCGAACATTTGAAACTAATTCTTACAAAATGTTAGCTGAGAACTACTAGCATTAAGAGATCAATAAAGAGGAATGCCTATTTTATTGTCTATTTTTGAAATCCCAGATTCAGACCAACAATAGAGGGGATATTAGGACTACTAGCATTAAGAGATCAATAAAGAGGAATGCCTATTTTATTGGCAATTTTTGAAATCCCAGATTCAGACCAACAATAGGGTGGGATAGTAGGAAGCTTAATCTATATAAGAATTCTTTGAAATCTTCTTTGATTGACTGAAAATCAGAATTCAAATTGTTAAAGATAAACGACTGCCAAATCTTTGCAAGAATTGATTTCGAAGGTGATGCAAAAAGGGAAAGATAATTATGAGAAGAGGATATGCGGCGTAAAAATCAGGGCAAAAGGCGGCCCAAAAAGGAAAAAAAATGTTAGCTTGCCAGAGCTCTCCAACCCGTATGAGATTGAACCGGAGCAAACTGATTTCTTCCTTTTCTGTAAAGTTAAAATGAATTCATTAATATAAATTGCCGATTTTATTTTATTTTTGAACTTTCAGAAGTCGGGAATTCATTCCACGGTTATTGGGACCCCCTCAGTCACACATTGCCCTGCTCGGGTCCAGCATGGCGATTCTTCCTCGCTAGTATTCCAGAAAGCCCAGCTAATTTTCTACCGGAACCATGGACCCAAGGGAAACGAAATCTGAAAGGGCTTCCTCGAATAATTCTTTCAACCGGCTTCTATCTCCCTCTCTTTCATGGGGAAGGTTAGTGGCAGGGTTTTGAGAACGACATCGAACCAGATTTCCTTAGCGGAGGAGAAGAGAGGCAGATTCAGATCCTATAGAAGTGACGGAAAGACCATGGGTTGTTGCTTGAGTTTGAGTAGATAACTCTTCGATAATAAAGGGTACGCGTAAAGATTTGCCATTTAGACGTCTCATTTAAGTCTAGAGGGAATTGTAGTTTTGTTTTCATTCAAACCCTAGCGCTCCGCTGTCTGCTGTTAGTTTGAATCTGGTATTTCTGCTTTCTTGAGTCTCACTTGTTTATTTTGTAAATTGAGAAGCTGTGATTTAAATAGTGGTAGGCTGTAAATAAGAGCAGCAATGGGATGTTTGATTGAAATGAAATCAGACTCAAATTCATAAATTTTGTTATTCTGGACACTTCTCTTGCTACCCCGTGGATCTTGGCCGAGCTATTGTGCTTCATATAATATTTTAACGAGCTCTCACTTGCGTTAGAGATTGGAAGGGATTGATCTTTTCTTCTGAAATTGAGCAATTGGTTTCAGTGAGCCCCGAAACTATTTGTAGAAGCTCCTTTGAAAGTTCCATTATTATGTTAGGGTAAGAGTTGTAATTCATACCAGTTTTTTTGTCAGAATAGGTCCTTATATTTTCTATCTTGTTTTCTGACTGTCCTCTTTCTGACATTGGAGCACATAATTTTTTTTTTATTAAGTCATAGTGACAATTACCATGTGGATATACTCATAAAGGCTTACACTCATGTCTGGATAAACTTACACAAACGAAACCGTAAAGCAAGGACACCGCCATGAAGATTGTTTCTCACAAAGAAAAGCATAAATTCATGAATGAACACTTCAGTAAGAAAAAGGAAAAAATATACTGGACACTCCAAGATGTGAATCTTCAAGTAAATAGATTTCTCTGATCTTGTCTTGCCATGAAATATTTTAAAGCGTAAGTTGATGTAAGGCTGTATGTAATTTTTCTCAACTTTGAGTAGATCTTAGTAATATATTAAGTTTTGGATATGTCTAATAATCTCTTAAATTGGTCTTTTCCATAAATATTTAAGCATTGTTAATGAGATTTGCGTTACGATGCCATGCCATGAGAGATCACTCTCATCTTAAGCCCAAGGTATTGATTCCAGAATATTGTTCTATCTATTATCAATTGAGACAACCTAGCTTGAAGTTCTTGTTAGATTCTATGCTTTTATCACCAAATTCTGGTATTTTGTTCTAGTTAAGCGCCATTCTAATGTTAGTGGATATGGCCATAGAATATATATTTTGGGCTACCAGTGGACATGTGTTGAACAATGGAGTTTTTTAAGATATATCTTTACGGTAAGCCTTTTCATTTAACTTGCCTATAATATTATCCAATTTTTTGTTAAGTATAATGAAGATTATCCATCAATTTTGACTAATGCTACTGTATGGTGCAATGTTCCATTATTTTAAGCTCATTGATTAGATAGCTTTACTAATAGATGGGATGGTTGTAGTTTTTTGTAAAATTTTTTTGTTATAAACTTTTTATGTTTTGAAAGTTGGGCAATTTTCTTTCAATCATCAAACTCTAGTATGCCTGATTGTAAAAGGTTCATCACAAAAAAAATTAAAATTTAGCTAGAAAATTACAATCATATATATGTGTGGTAGCTGTTTAGAAAACAAAATTGTGAAAAGGTTGTCCTAAATAGACAATTATTAACTTAATCATGGGTGGCCGAAGCGTGGCATGCATTTGAATGCCATGATTGGCCAAAATAGTTTCCTATGATGGAAAGAGAATTTTTTTGAATGAATTGTGTTACTATGTTTTTATTTTAGCTATTCTAGGGCATTTAAGATGAATTTAACAATTGTATTTTTTGTGAAAAGAATGTTAAGAGTTTTTGTAAAATATAAATTGAACAATAAAATTGGGGCAGTTTTATTAGTGAATAAAGATTTGATAGATGAAATTGCTGAAGTATTGGATTGTTGATTGGGTGGTTGCATAATCTAGTTAAGATATTTTAATTTAGTCATCCTTATATTCCTAGAGTTGAATTATTAGATGTTCTGTACAATTGACTTTGGAAAGAAAAGATAACCGATTACATAATGTACCTAAGAAAGATGATAACTATTAGGGGTTGCTTAAATCGAATAATAGGCAGTAAGATGGGCTTTTTGAGGATGCTTAGTGGGCATGAAATAAGAGAGAGAAATGTGATGAAAAGTATTTAACTTTTAGTAGAATATGATCATATAGCAATAAATGTATACATTAACAAATCATAAGAATGCATAATTATTTTTAAAAGTGGAGCCACCAAATTATAGATATATTTTTTTTCTAGAAGGTTTAAGGAGACGTTTTGATCACACAATATAGATTAGTAGTTATGGATTTTCTTAAGGATTATAAAAATTGATCTAAATATATAATTGTCTTAGGAAAATATATAACTTAGAAAGGTAAGAAATTAATAGTCTTTTCATGATAGATTGCTGACGGAGGCATTGAACCAAACCTCATGCTTAATAAGATGGCTAATTACATGAAAAATATTTGCCATATAAGTTTTATGAGGCTATTGAAATACATTTAACAGAAGTATGGAGACTTGGCAGTGGAGTGAGAACGTTGTGAGGCGCCATAATATGGATGGAAGCCTTGCCATGAGAGAAGTGTGCAAAGCAAAAGTTATATTTTATGATGATTTAAAATTAATAGATTGGTATTAAATGTGAATTAAGAAGGAAATTATTTCAGCTGATTATTATGCATAAGATAATGAGATAGATTATTAGATTATCCAAAAAAATAAAACCAATTTTACTCGAAAGAACATTTATGAATATGAAATGTTCAGTTTAGAGGAGATATTTATTAAGATTGGAGAGTTGCAAGTAATATTATAGTGGTCTGATTAATATAGGTTTTTAATAAAATAGATCTTTTAAGAAAAGATTAAAGGCTACAATGATAATGATTGATTATAGAGAAAATATTTTGTTATAAATATTTAAAACATAAGAAATGTTCAAGATTATAGTAACTACGGAGGAGTCAAAATCTATTAGCCATTCACTGATATATGGGAGAAAGCTAGTTGTGGAACATTGATTTAGTGACATAAATTCGAAATTCATAGCTTTTTTACCTAGTACCAAATTATATTTCATTTACATGACCCCTAATTTTTTGTGATTTTAGATTCCTTCTATGCATCTTGGTTCCTAGGATTATATCAATCAATGGCCTTTTTTTAGGAATGTAGCAATCAAGTACTTTTCTTAATATTATAACTTTAACTATCTTTATATCAATTTCCTTCTGTCACTTTTTTTTTCTTTTGGACCGTAGAGATTGATCAATACTTTTCTATTGTGGCTTTATATCTTTGTTTTATTCTTTTGGCTGTATAACACATGGATTATTTTTTACTTTTATGGAAAAATTGAGAGCTACTTTACTTGAGAAGTTTTGTTGAAAATGCAAATGTAGGTGGGAGAATCCGAATTTGTGATTTTTGACTAGATGTAAGAAAGTTTTGAGGAATTTGTAATTTGTGTTTTTCTTGCTTATATGTAGCCCATTGTACAGTTAATATTTATTCAATATTTTCATAAAATTTTAGTTTTCTTTGTTTCTTGCATGCGAGCTATTGGGTGTGATTTTTTGAGTGATTGACAACTTTTGGGGGTTGATTTCATTGTATCGGCTTGTGCTTTGAGTTTACGTTTGACCAATTTCTCTCATTGTTCTTGCCATCTATTTGTTTAATGATTGGTGTGTGCGCACAATTGTAGTTCTATCCAGTATGATAAATGCTGTTTTTTTTTAAGTTTGAATCGTGAACATTTTAAAAATTGATATTCGTTCATCATTTTTCTTGTAAGATTTTAGATTTTGGAAACCTCTAGATTATTTTTTAAATTAAAGGAAACTTTTCTTCACATTTAAGGTGGTCTTTTTGTTAAACTTGAGAGTTGGTAACTTAAACCTTGTGTTTTTTTAATATTTTTATTGTGCATCTCTTCACAGTTTTTTTTTGTTAAACTTGAGAGTTGGTAACTTAAACCTTGTGTTTTTTTAAATATTTTTGTTGTGCATCTCTTCGCTGCTTTTTTAGTTAACTCTAGAACTCAGTCCATCCCATATCAAATTGCTGTTAGAACTTTTGGTTGCATCATCATTCTACTAAAAATAGAACTTAGTACTTTAGTCATTTAAAAAAACCATTTAAAGGTGTAAAGTTATGATTCTAAAAGGACACAATGTAATTATCATAAGTAATTAAAACATTTTTCTTCATTTTGTGGGAGGTATAATTTTTGAGAAATATTTTAGATTGGGTCAATTGTTTGAAATATTTCCTTAAATTTTATCATTTGTTTGATTATGAATGAATTGAAAATACTAAATAAAAACTTGTAGCTGTGTTCATTCGTTTTGACAAAATATTGCAAGTGAAACTAAATTTACATGATTCATTTAAATGTAACAACAATTTCTCACTTGGTGAGTATAATGATTAATTGCATGAACAATTTTAGTATTGTTAAGAAGAGAAATATGACTTATATGAATACTGTGATAGATTTATGAATCTTATAAATAAAAATCATTTACTATTTTATTACTACTGTTTCATTAAAGAGCTTAGGTGAGAGATTAGCAAGGAAGTAAGTCACTAAACCTTAAATGTGACTTTATCAAAATCTTTCGATGCTGAGGCATATTATGAAGATTTTGTTAGGTCTACTACACTTATTATTAAAGTCCCTAAAGAGAAATCATGATTTTCTCCTCCCAAGCATGATATCAAGATGAGTAGATGTTGGGTTTAATGTCAAGGTCATGTAAGGATGAGTTTTTGATTAACTCGCATAATTAATTGAAGGGATTCCATGCAAGAAGTAAACCAAAAGATCAATGAAATAAAATCAAGTTGAAGTCTATATATAAATAAATCTCTCTCCTTTCAAGCCTATGAAGCATGCAATGATAAAATTGTCATCTAGTGTAATTTATTCGGTTCGAAGAATTTATAATACATAAGCACTTACTTGAGGATTTATTAAATTCAAAACATGATTTACACCATCATAATAAGTATTTATCATATTGTATTGAATTTAAATTTGCACTT